CGTCCAAGAGGGAATTCAATCGCTGCGTTCTCTCGATCCTCGTATGTTTTCGAATCCATTTCCAACTCTGATCACACTGACGCAAACGCCCACGCGACATGTACATTCGCATCTCCGATGGATGTTCGATCGTTTTTGTTTAGCGGTTAAAACTGATTTACGGAGTATGCATCGCTCGCTAGTAAAACGGAACGACGATGGCTCGTCGATAAAAATTCCGATAATCCGGTATGCATTTTCTTTCGAAGACGAATCGAAACGAGGGTGTTGCATTTTCGAGTCGACGCGCGAACGATGCGCCGAGGAGCCTATGTTCTGTTGTTGCAACAATTTTTATTCTCCCCGGGGACACGGAACCTAATGTTTCGAGGGAAATTAGGAAAGACATAGAACGAAGGAAGCGATAGGCTGCGGATTACAAAGGGTAATGGCGTGAGTAGGTTGTAGTGGGGATGGAGGAACGAGACGAGGAGAAGGGCGAGGGGCGGGACGATGAAGAGGGGAGCGAAGAGGAACAGGTTTAACATTTGTTACATCGAGTAAGAGACCTGTTCGGGTATATCTATTAGATCTCTTAGGCTTTTCGCTTTACTCTTCTGCTTCTCCCCTTGCCCTGGGGATTCGTCTTTTATTTCCCCTGCTTTCTCTCCCTCTTCGCGTCTCCCGTATGTATATGTGTGTGTGTTTTTTTGTCTGTTTTCGTTTAGCTCCCCTTCGCCTGCAGTTTCTTTCAGTGATTTCGGAATAGATCAGGGAAGCATATTTGGAAATGTCGTCGACCGGTTACCGTGTCGCGTGAAACATTCGAAAACTAAAGTCGTTTCGTTTTGGAAACTTTGTCCACGTACATCGAAACGTGGAGTTTAGGTACCGCGTATTCACGAAACGGGCAACGATACCGAATACACGTATCGTTTACTCGTAATTGAACACGCGTTCCTCCTTCGACTTTCGCCTTCTCTTCTCCCCGGCGGACTCATGGCGTTCCTCGGGGGGACTCGGTGTTTGTAATCGATAGACATCGGCTTGCGAAAAATTCAAGGATGCACAACGTCGTCAAGCGAACCAAGAGAACCTGTTTAAGCCATTGTACGTGTACACGTAACGTTAAAAGTTAGCAAGGGGAGGCCGTCCTGAAATATTTTTCGTTTGCGTCTTCGGCTCGTCTCGGGTCCGATTCGGTTTTGCTTAGTCGATCGTCCGTTCACATCCATCTACCTATCTACCTACCTACCTACTTACCTACCTACCTACCTACCTACATGCCTACCTGCCTGCCTGCCTGCTCGTTCGCCCGTCTACCTACCTACCTGCTCGCTTTCCTGCTTGCCTGCTGTTACTTCTGCTGCTGGAAAACATAAATGCTGTTGCACCCTCCCCGCTTCGTTCGAACCTTTTCTCGTTCCGCCCGTGCATTTTGTCCATCTCCCACAGCCCTAAAAAAAAACGAATTTTTTAATCGAACATTACTCGAACCGTTCACCCCGTGTATCCTCGAAAATGAATTTTCCCCGGCATCGTTCGAAGGCTTTTTTTTTTAGTTTCGTCCCTCATTGATTGCTTTCGCCTAGATTGTTATCGGAAGGTCTCGAGTACAACGTATTGGTTTTGTCTCTTTTCTCTGCTTCGCCTCTGCTGCACCTGTTCGTCGCGTTCGGATGAAAATCGTTGTAGCCTGACAGAGGAGAGGTATGAGGGAGCATCGGGCGTCGAGAGTCGTGGGCCGTCTTCCAGATGGCGAGAAAGGACTACGTCGCCCAGGCGAACGAAGCGTTTTACGTGTTTTCCCGTCCTGCGTTTTCGATAAAGGCGAAACGACTGCTACGTAGGAGGATAAATATTTTTGAAAATTGTTCAATCTTGATCGCGTTCTCGTTTGAAACGAATCCGACAAACTAGAGGCAAGCGTAAGGGTCGATGACCGCGGAAGAACGTGAATAACGCGTTTGGTTGAGGGTGGGTGAGTGGGTGGTGGTGGTGGCGGTGGTGGTGGCGATGGTGGTGGTGGAAGCAGCGATGGTAACGAACCTAAGGGGAGGCGGGAGTATCGAAGACGCGACGCATATTCGAACGTAATGCGCCCGTTGTTTGCTTTATTTAAAGCAATATACCTTGAACATTGTGGTTACGATCGGAGAACATTTTTGGCGATGGCGGTTAGATGACGTTGCGTACGCACCCACGGGGAAGGAAGAAGCGACCGAGAACAGAATCTGAAACTAGAATTCGATCGAGTTCGATGGAAGCAACGCACGCAAGGGCTCGAAAACAATTAATATTATGAATTTCGATTCTTGAAACGTTCGTTTAGAACTTTTATAAAAAACTTAAATTTCGAATTATACAGGCTCTACAACTGTTATTTTTTGGATTTTAAAAAATGGTCTCGAATTTGTACTATTTGTTACTCTACAAAGATCAGATGATTAACCTAACCTAACTCAGAACCTATGCGAGAAATGATGCAAGAACTTTAACTTACTTGAAAAATATCCGAAAAATACACAGTTTTTCTTGAGCCAATATAGCTCGACTTTTAGGTTATACGTAACGGTTTATAAACGTACACCCGTTGTATCGCCGGTGTAGCGTTAAACAACGTTTCTATTAAGGATTACGGACGTGACAATTTATCGTACGATAATTTGTACAACCATAGTCGATACCACTGTTTGAACGATAATTGTTAAGTGCGGCGAGTTGTTGTACAACCTGTCGCGCGATACGGTCCTCGTTGGGTGGTAGTGCGGCGTTGCCATACGACTATTGTTGCAACTCGACGTACAACTCATCGTACAATAAATCGTTACATCCATGGCCCCTTTATGTACAGCGTCCTCTGGCCAACGAAACAACTCTGCTTCGTGCCGTTTTGTTCGCCGCGTTCGCTCATTTCGGATCGGCCGACTCCATCTATATCGAGATTTTAGAAATACGGTAACGCTCGTAAACTCGCAGTAAACTGGATTCTATTATTATCACTTATCCGGGGAACATAACCTATCTTTCCAAGAACCGATTTTTTTTTTATCCTGACCTTTCCTTTAGTCTTCTAAAAATAACAATGTGTATATTGTTAATAATAATAATAATCAAGTTGGGCATCGTATACAGTTTCTGACACGGAAAAAATATGTCAGGACAAATTTCTTTGATTCGAAGCTGAGAATTTTATGATTTGCCTTTTTTTAAAAATTAGTTATCCGTGTTTTAATTAATTACAGGGTGTTCGGGCAACCCTGGGAAAAATTTTAATGAGGGATTCTAGAGGCCAAAATAAGACGAAAATCGCGAATACCAATTTCTTGATGGAGGCTTCGTTAAAAAGTTATTAACGTTTAAAGTTCCGCCCGTGCTGAATTTTTTTTCTCAAAAACGCGCAAGATTTCGGGAATGTGTCTATTCACCAAAAATTATTGTAATTGATCCCCGCAACCGAAAATAATTTTTCCATAACGATTTGAAATTTTTTTTCCCCGTCGTAAAATTTCACATCTTTTCGAATTTTTTTCTCGAAAGTGTATGGGATTTCGAGGATATATCTAATGACCAAAACTGATTATAATTGACTTCCGCAACCGAAAATAATTTTTCCAGAACGATTTGAAATTTTTGAATATTGTTGAAAAATTTCATACCTTCTCGAATTTTTTTCTCGAAAATGGATAGGATTTCGAAGGTATATCTATTCACCAAAAATAATTGCAATTGATCCCCACAATCGAAAATAATTTTTCCAGAACGATTTGAAATTTTTGAATTTAATTGTTTTACTTTTTAACGAAGCCTCGATCAACAAATTGGTTTTCTTGATTTTCGTCTTATTTTGGCTCCTAGAATCTCCCATCAAAATGGCCGAGCACTCTGTATAAACGGTAGCCCTTAAATTCCATGAATGGTAAATTCAAAGTTCTATTCGTTATCTCGAGCAAACTATGACCAGTTATCCGGAGATTATCGTATATCGAAGACGCAAGAGCAGCAAAAAACGTTCAACGAATAGAATTGTCGAGGCCATGCAGGTCGTTGACCGAAGGGTGCGCAAGTTGCAGCGCGGATAAAAACATCGAGCCCAAGTTTGTGTATCGTGAGCTACCTTCGGAACTGCTAGAGACCCTTTTACGTAATTTCCTAATTTAATGCGTTAATTCTACTAGCGGAGGAACAGATCGGTTTGCTTTCGAACGTTGGAGAGCGGCTGCGGCCCAGCGAATGCACATATACGTGTTTGTCTCTCAGGTTGTCAAAATTACTGTTTCATAAATATAAGATAAATAGATCGGGCAATTCAAAAAAGTAACTAGGACCGAAGTCCAACTATTTGTCTTTCGTATTGTCACAGCCCAGTCGTGCATGTGTGACAACCTGGGAGACAACGCTGTACAGTAGCGCTCCGCTTCAAGGCGAAAAATCGAGGTCGAAAATAAATTGTATTTTATAACGAAAAAATGAACTAGTCACCGAGAGAATCGTGATAGTAAATTTTTATTGCATCTTAACGAAAGTATTAACAATAGATTGTTGATAAAAATTAGTTTGAACGCGACGATCGATCGGTTAGACTGTTGCAAAGATGTAACGAAAGATATGAAAGCGTTAAGTCTCGTTGGACCTTTTTTCGACTCTTGTTTAAAAGAAAAGTACGATGGGGATGATTTCGCGTCTTGAAGCGAGGGACTACTGCACCGTGCCGGAGAAAATGCGCGAGGTTCGTCGAGTCGACGCGTCCCGTGGATAATTCTGAATGATAACGATCGCTGGTGCGTGCATTCGATGCACAATTATCAAGAGCGAGAGGAAAAGCCTACGGGTTACGGAAGAAAGTCGATAGCCGGTTACGAACGGCGTGATATGAACGAAAACCGTGCGCGAGCAACGAGCTTCCAAATGTCCCCGTCCGTATTTCGTCAATAGCGTCCCGATCGCGCGTCCTTACGACCTATCTGCAGCGAATCGCCGCGAGCGATCGTTAACAACCGTTGTTTCTTCGTCTGTTTCAGAGAAACGAGAACCTCGATTTTTCGCTGAACGTGCCGCAGTCCCACCATCATCCGGCGTCTTATCATCACGACGGTTACGCCATGGCTGATCAGGTGAGCATCATCGATTTCGTGAACGATTCGCGATCCTGGCCCCGCTCTGTTGTCGAACGCATCCCCGAGAACCGGTCTCCCCCTCCACTCCACCCGAGTCTAGTTCCTCGGAGTTTTTACGATCGCGCGCGCGACGTTTTGCTTCGATCAACGCGCAGCCGAAACGCGTAGGGTACGGTACAGCAGAATGGCGCTTCGTTCGGCCGGAGACGGCTGAAACGCGATACTAAACGATTCGAGTCTCGGTCGCCTTCCTCGCGTACCGACTCGAGAACGCTCTCGAGACAAATTCAGCGATCGTTGTATGGGTCCACAGATGTAACGACTCTTATCCTGTTATGAATCGATACGGTATTGTACCGACCAGTCGTACGCCATTTTCTCCGCAGACGTAACGTCTCGATCCGTCGTTCGACAAATGTCACGAAAAAGTACGATCGATCGTAAAAGACGGTGCCAACGAGAACGATTCTCGTGATAATGCAAGGAAACCGACAGTGTGCAAGGTTTTTCGAAAGAACAATCGTATAACATTGTCTAAGATTCGAAAACGCAAACGATGTAACGTTGAATAGAGGGCGTTTTTCAATTTCCAATACATCGTGCATAAAAGTATCTAAACGATTATATTTATAATCGAATGTTATGATGTAAGCGTGTTCGATCACGATTTTTTTTTTAGGTATTTCTGTTTCGAATAAAAGTTCTTCAACTTGAAAAACTTTTTCCCTAAAAAATCAAGGTCACCGTGCATTTTTGACTTCGTAGAGTTGTTGCTGGCTGGAAAACGAGTTCAACAATCTACTGTACTGTGATCTTTCGATGACCTTGATTTTAGAAATTAAACAAAAGTTAATCGAATATCTCTGGATCCAGTGCAAAGTGTAGTTGAAATATAATCTGGTCATATTAAATTCCACAAAAAGAGCTGTAGCAGAGAGCGTGTTAAAACGGCTGTTATTTTCGATCACGTGACGAAGTGCACGCTCCGGCGCCAGCAGGTGGCGTGATTATACAAGTAGACACCATCGCCCACTAGATGGAGCCCTAATGCCTCGAGGCAAAACGAAAGGCTCAGCAAGTGGCCTCGGCAGAAACATTTATTCTCGTATGCAGTCAATTCTTCTCGAGAGCTCTACATCTGCAGGCTATAACGATAAAGACTCCTTTTTTAAACTGCCAGGCATCCTATCTTAATAGAGGTATCCAAGTAAGCTTAGTTCGAATCGTTCGAATCAAATCGACTGTTGAATGTTCGAGTAAGGTTAAATTATTCTTAACGCGTTGACACCGCCGTATACCCGTAACTTTCATTATTGGATTACAATTCTTAGGAAAATTAACTGCGTATACAGTATTCCTCGTAAGACTGAGAAGCAAACCCGTGACCAGTTATCACGATCGCGTCCGTACGACAGGTCGTACAACAAATCCCACTTAACAATTATCGTTGGAGCAATCGTATCAACCGTACTTGCATAACTTTTTGTACAATAAATCGTTACGTCTGTGGCCCCTATTAGAAACGTCTGAGTTGCGTCTTTCGAGCTAACCGTGCTACGATTAATTAACCAATGCCCGTGCACATGGACAAAGTCCATGGACAAACGAAGGCAACAAGAGAGAGGGAAGAGAGAGGCTATTTTTGTGCTCGAGACATCAACGGTCGGAGTTTACCGTGCGAGTCGAAACGCTTTCTTCAGTAATGGGCGTTTTATTATTGCGTACAGAAAATTCACCTTCCAACGACCTTATTAATCGGTTCGCTTTCTGGGGCGTTGTTCTCTTTCCTTGGATCTGCTTCCACGAGGGTTTGGCAAATGTTCTTTTCGCAGTGTTGCTTCTTCGTGTCGATCGAATTCCAAATTTCTAGATAATACAGTTTCTGTTTCAAATACTTCGAATTTTGAAGGGTCGTCGTTTTCGATAGATTTTCAACGATTTATACATTTTTTCAGTTGATTTCGCAGTCAGATAATTTTTTAAAAATTGTGCGTCGTTTTTAAGGCTCCGTCGTCGTGAAAACGTTAAACGGTCGAGCGGAATTGGTTGGTTGACTTCCGAGATTGTATAAAGGCTGATTTCTACTGGCGTTCGAAGACATTGGCGACATTCAAGTCACTGATGATCACGTCCTCGCTCGTGGGGCGTGCATAGTGCATGGAACAAATACAGTATTCCTTTCCAGGTTGTTGATTTCTCTCTGTCAAATAACAGGGCGGATCCAGAAGCCTTGTCGGAGAGGGGAGGGGTTGGTAAAATATGTAAAAGTATATTTTCGAACCTTCTTTTGCATGACTTGAAATTTGTTCATCACTTATCAATATTTGACTAAATAATTAAGTGTACGTTAATTACTTATTTTTACTAGTGTACATTAAAAACCGTTTATAAAATATAATACTGGTTCTTACTGACTTTGTATATTCGTTTCCCTTTGGCTGAAATTCACCCTTCCGTTCATCTTGGCTCGACATGGTAGTCGAATTGGAATTAGCAAAAATAACCAGGCCACCTAAATAACTTTAAATCTAAATAACTTTATAATTATTGAACTATCAGATTCCAGGTTATGAGTGCCCTAATAGTTTTTTTGCAGGGGTATAGTATCCATATAAGTCTCTGGGTTAAAAAGGTTAATTCGTAATGGAAAACTCGTACACGCTGCACGCCTCTGGCCCTGGCGCTTCGAAGATCGTTTCGTGGTCGCGCGTGTAGAGGGCGTTGTTCGTTCATAGGATGAACGTTAAACGCTTAGAAACGAACAGATCGCCCGGATAGGCAGGGACGCGTTGTTCTGCGTTCGCCTCGCGAGCGGAGTCCGAAGTCATCCTGGAAAGCAAATTGGTAAGGTGTAAAAGAACGGCTCGCGATCTGGTCGGTCGAGTCGCGGGGAACGTGGAAACACAGAGGCGAATGGGAACGCGAACGGCGAACGTACCAAGGGGGTAGGAAAGGTACGAGACTATCTTGGCTCGGTTGGATAGGTGGAAGAGGATGAAGGGGGTGGGGTTCGCGGGGACGGAGAGAGAAAGAAAAGTTTGGTACCGGCGGAGGAAGAAGATGGATAGACGCGTAGTCGATTCGCCGGAGATGGAAAGGCGGGGGTGGAACGGCGAGGGGGAGGGGGTAGGAGGTAAGAGTAGTTGAAATAGGACGGGACGGGACGGGATGATGGTATACGCGTACACACAGTTTGTTGGAGGGGGAGGGGCAGCGGAGAAGAGAGCCGCGCGGCTAGGGGGTTCGGGGAGAAGGGAAGAGAGGCAAGAGCCGAACGATAGAGTAAGAGAAACACCGCGAGTTAAGGGGTAACGCGATGGGCATGGAGAGAGAAGGGAGGCAGAGGTAGGTGTACTCGATCAATAGGCAAGTACGTTCCTTCAAAGGAAAATTCCTGACGCTATTAAATCCAATTTAAAAACTTTTATTCCCCGGGTGGCCCGACAGCCTGCACCAGCGAATTTATTTTCCGTCGTTTCCCCTCGCCCCGTCTACCCCCGTCTCTCTCTCTCACTCCGCTGTGCCCTGTTCGCCCGCTCTTTGTACCCTCGAAAAGAAGTAAATTGCTAAACATTAGATTGTCCTGAAAATAAACGCGCCTCGCGTTCGTACAACCACGGGACTTTTGCATGGTCGGGCATGTCGGCGTTCGGCGTCACGTGACACGCTTAATAGGAACCACGAACCGCTCGAGCCAATCATAACCTATATTTCCAACGCGCCCGGACTTATCCTTTACGTGTAGTTTATTCCTGCTTCGTCGCTGTTTTGCAACAATGGTTAATGGGGAAACTCGCGTTTGCATTTTGCACGAGCACGAACTCGATCACAATGCATCTGTGTTGCGACTCGAAATATTAAACCCTCGGGCACGACGCGATTTTCTGGTTTCCTGCGCCGCGCGTGGCCGACGTATAACCGAAGATCCGCAGCCTATTAGAAGGACTATTGTAACTTTTCGACGAATTATTATTTCGAGACTCGGTTTTACTATCGTATTCGGTATGTGCACAAAAACGACAAAGGAAAATATATGGTAAAAACGAAATAGGGTGTTCGACCATCCCTGGGAAAAATTTTAATGGGTGATTCTAGAGGCCACAATAAGACGAAAATCAAGAATATCAATTTGTTGATGGAGGCTTCGTTAAAAAGTTATTAACGTTTAAAATTCCATTCGTTCTGAATTTTTTTTTCGAAATTGGATAGGAATTCAGGGGTAGGTCTATTCACCAAAAATGATTGTAATTAACTCTCCTAGCTACGAATAATTTTTTTAGAACGATTTGAAATTTTTTAATTTCGCCGAAAATTTCACATCGACTCGAATTTTTTTCTCGAAAGTGGGTATGATTTCGAGGATATCTCTATTCACCGAAAATGTTTGTAATTGACCCTTGTGACTAAATATAATTTTTTTAATATCATTTGAAATTTTTTAAATTCCTCTTAAAGTTTTAGTACATACACTAATTTTTTTCTCGAAAATGGGCAGGATTTCGAGGATATCTCTATTCACCAAAATTGCTTGTAATTGACCCCTGTAACTAAATATAATTTTTTTAATATGATTTGAAATTTTTAAATTTCGTCTTAAAGTTTCAGTACCTACTCGAATTTTTTTCTCGGAAATGAATAGGATTTCGGGGTTATGTGTATTCACCAAAAATGATTGTAATTGACCCCCGCAACCGAAAATAATTTTTCCAGAACGATTTGAAATTTTTGAATTTAATTGTTAATAACTTTTGAACGAAGCCTCCATCAACAAATTGGTATTCGTGATTTTCGTCTTATTTTGGCCTCTAGAATCCCCTATTAAAATTTTTCCCACCTTTTTTATAACAAGTTCTTGTTTATTTTCTATTATCTCAACCACTCGATTCGATAATGATTTATATGGAGTTTTTAAAAATTGTATCTTTTTATTTTAAATCGTAAATGTTTATAACACTCTTCTGTCAACTATTCTCGAAATTATTGATACGTTTACACGTAATGTTAGGGTAAGTAATCTTGTTACGTTAAACATGAGGATTCTACGTTGAAGAATGTAAGGAATTTATTAAAATTCATTTATTTTTATTCAAATATATAGTAATTTATAGTAATTTTATTCAAATTTATTGTAATTTATTTTTCCGCTTTCCCGCATTTTCACCGCAAAAAAATCCTCGCAATTTCTGAATCTTACGAGATGAACACACTACGTACGCATGAAAACAGTCCCATACAATCGCGCATGCGTCATTTAACCGAAGTATGCAAAACATATGCATTATTCAAAGTATGCAAAATAAAAAAAAAAATACATTTTTAACATTTTCCAGCCGTCGCTAAACTGACCTAGACTGCCTATTCGATGACATTTTTTCCCAACGAATTTGACATTTTATGTTGAGGCTAGTACCAAGGTTACGATGCTTCTAAGGATTTTGTCGTAAAATTCATGTCTCCTTACAGATCAGTAAAATGTTTGGATTCAGATGTTTAACTTTTCTGAAGGATATTTACATTCTGCAAATCTAGCGTCGAACAATTATTCGCATTTACAAGCTGTTAGTGAAAATTCCCATTTTTGGGTTTTCTAAATTGTGAAGTCACGACGCTATCTCGATCACGAAACGATGCGTGAGACGCGAACGGAGAAAACTGGAAATGATCGAACTCTTTGGCGGATCCGTCGGTACGGTTGGCAACACTCTTTCGTTCCGGTGTCCACCGTTGAATTATAACTATTCGCGATCGTTCAAAGTTTCTATCGCTTCGAGTACTTTTTCGTGAACAAAGTACCAACCCTTTGACGGTCTAATAAATTTACGAAACGTGGCAGATAATGTGCCCTTAAATTCTACGCGAAACATCGCCCTTGTCCGATTCTAATTCGCCCGATAAATTTACGGGAATCTGTAAAGTTTCTTTTAAACTTTGCTCGACTTTGGTTCCACGCAACGACAGTTCCACGTCAACCTTGTTTTTCTCCGCAGACGTTTCACACACCAAGTTTCGGCGACGAGGACTTCGATATCCCCGCTATCCACTCTCACTCGCATCAGCAACAACAGCAACAGCGGCAGCAACAATCGCAGCAACAATCTCAGCACGATCCGATGCATAGCTATCAGTCTCAGGTGAGCTTTGCCGCGATGTCTCGGAAAATGTCACTGAGTTTCGTTAATGGGATTGTCGTGTTTTTCTCGATCGAAAAATTAAAAATTTTTCGTGAATTTATTTCGAACAAAATGGTGTTTAAAAAATCTGTTTGCAATTGTCTTTGCAGATGATACAGTCCACGGGAGGAAGTATCCAACAATCTCCGGACGGGCTGAATCTCGATCCAGGTGGATATCAGCAATCGCTTTATCTACAACAAGACCACTCATTACAGCCGATCAGCGTCAGGTAAGTGCTTCGACCAATCAATTTCGGCACAGTCGATCCTTTCATTACGTCACGATTCTTCTTTTATTGCGTCACAATGTTATCCCCACCAGAGGGAGCCACGCGTCGCGAGTAAATATGAAGCAATTGAATTTCGTTTCTCGCCCCTTCGTTGTATCACTGTCTGAACCCAAACCAGTGACACAATGAAAGGATTTGCTTACATTTTTTCGATTCTAGGGTTTGTTTTCTTGGATTTGTTCCTAGGCTGCATAATAATGCGTATTCTGTTAACGTAGAATTTTAATTTGGTGAATGACCGTTATCGTATAATCGATACCGATTGTATCGATAACTGATACGTTATCGTAATAATTCGACGGCAATCACAGATTATACGTATCTGTAATTTATTAATAATCACGTCTGTGTACATTCAGAGCCACGCGTTATTTCTACGATTGAAATCGATGAAACTATGTGCAATTAATGTTCATGAATCTAACGTTAAAGCGCCGGTCGTCAATGGCCGCCATGACAACCTGATGAAAAATTCGTCCATAGATTTACACTAGATGAAAGAACTTTGAACGTCGTAAATTCGAAACAGCTCCTTTCAGTTTTCATTTGGTTAGAAACAACGACGCCCGTATAGGGGAATAAAATAATAATCGTTCCTAAAATATTTGTATTTATTAAATTTTTTCTCCGCGACAGTTGAAGCAAACGAAACGTATAAACAGTTACGTACCGCGCGGAAATATTAAAAAAGTTGCTTATTGAATGTTTTCGTAAGCGTGGTTCTCGCTGAAATCAGACAATTATTTTTGTAGCTCTACGAATGAATTCTGGGCGCATTGTGCTTCGACTCGAACGTCCGCCGGCAGCTGTGTAAACAAAAGCCGGTTCGCAGCCGAGGGCGATCCTCCCCGCGCGCCATATCGAATTTCATACCTTCGATGAAAATTACAATTTTTATATTGTTCGTTCCACAGTTGTGGCAATATTACCAATGGACAGATAACGTTTTGCCAATAAAAATGAATCCAAATATGGTCGTGTTCGGAGTACATATTTTAAATTATATTCGAAACGGAATACGGTCCGCATACGGTCGAGCAACGTAGTTTCGATTATACGAAGCTTTTTTTGTTTTTGAATGAGTTTCAAGACTGGTCGCAGATCGTTTCTATTCTCAAGTTAGAGGATATTAACCCTTTCAGTGCCGAACGACGATATATTGCGTATGCGATGGTGCCTTATTCTTTGCATTGGGAGAAAGCTCTGTCTCGAAAAAAATTTATAAAACATTATAAAGGGTGTAATTTAATTGCAAAAGCATATAAAAAATTATTTTTGGGTTATAGGAGTTTCTAGAGGCCAAAATAAGACTAAAATAAAGAATTTCAGTTTTTTGATTGAGGCCTCGTTAAAAAGTTATTAACATTTAAATTAAAAAATTTCAAATCATTCTGGAAAAATTATTTTCGGTTGCGGGGGTCAATCGCAATTATTTTTTGTCAATAGACATACCTCCTAAATCCTACCCACTTTCGAGAAAGAAATTCGAGTAGATGTGAAATTTTCGGCGAAATTAAAAAATTTCAAATCGTTCTGTGGGATCGGGAAAATAATGACTCCGCTCTGTTCCGTTCCGCACAATTGTATTGTTGCTGTCGTACAACGACGTGACTCGTGGTGCGGGTTACGCTCGACTCTCTGGTACGATCATCGCCACCGTACCAAGAGGCCTTCAAAAACAAAAGACGGTCAGAGACGACGACAACGGCTTTTCGGCTCACGCGGCTCTGGTCGTCTCGTGTGCAACCATCGTCTCGTGTGCAACCATCGTCTCGTGTGCAACCATACATTGTAGCGGCTTCGAACGGCTAAGGCGTATGTGGTGCCTTGGCCGCCACACTACCCCCCTGCCAGTAATTGGCACAATTACGAAAAATTGACCGACTACATTACCACTACCATTTACTCTATTATATAAAATACGTTATCCTAACTACGATTTACATTACAGTATTTGAACAGAGTTGAAAAAAAAGGAATTTACATGGAGTTTAATATATAATACGTAATACCTAAAAATACATGAAAGTACATAAAAGTGATGGAAAAAAATAAATGGTATATGATACTTATTATAATAATGCGCAAGCCTTAAGTACTACCGCGTAATTTGAAATCGCTCGGGAAAACGTACGCGTCTACCTGAACGCGTGACACGTTGCTGTATAACCGGCGCATTGTCAGGTACGTTTGTTTGTGTGACCGGCTGATTTTCTATGCTCACGGGATCCGGTCTGTTTTCTGCTAGCATATAAGCAGGTTTTAGCCTTTCAATTGATATATTTATTTCCTTACCTCTAATGTTTATTGTAAATGTTTTTTCGCCTCGGCGCACTACGGCGTATGGACCTTCATAAGCGGGTTGTAAAATAGTTTTGGCTGAATCTGTTCGGATGAAAACATGTGTTGAACTGCTAAGATCTTTGAAAACGAATGTACGATTAACGGAATGGCGTGAAGCATTAGAGGGACTCAATTTAGAAAAATGGTTGCGTAGTCTATTAGTAAAATCGGAAGCATTTTCTGTGCCTTCCGCTGAATGCGAAGACAAGAACTCTCCCGGTAATCTTAATGGCTCGCCATAAACTAATTCCGCTGAGGTAGCGCCGAGGTCTTCTTTCCAGGCGGAACGAATACCGAGTAGACCCGTCGGAAGTATTTCTGTCCACCTGTCGGATCCGTGGCACCTTATAGCCGACTTGAGCTGTCGGTGAAAACGCTCTACCATCCCATTGGCCGCTGGGTGATACGCCGTTGTGCGAAGGCGTGTGGATCCAATTAAATTGTTCAGCGCAAAAAATAATTTGGATTCGAACTGCCTACCCTGATCGGTGGTAATCCGTACGGGAGCACCAAACCGCGCTACCCAACCGTCATAAAAGGTTCGAGCTACGGTTTGGGCCTCCTGATCGACCATGGGGAAGGCTTCCGGCCACCGCGTATATCTGTCTACACAGGTCAGACAATACCTGAAACCTTCGGACACCGGTAAAATTACTATGTCTAAATGAATGTGTTCGAATCGCGCAGAAGGTTTAACAAATGTAGCCAATGGTGCAGTCACATGACGGGAAATTTTTGATCTTTGGCACGGTATACAGCAACGTGTCCACGTGCGAACATCTCTTTTAATCGACGGCCAAACATAACGTTGCGTTATGAGCTTGATCGTCGCGTTAATACCTGGATGTGATAATACATGTAACATATTAAAAACTGCACGTCGGAAAGGAGGGGTGACATAAGGTCTTACATTCTTAGTCGAAATATCGCAAAAAATTTCGGAAGACGTGCCAGGCAAGGAGACTTTGCGTAATCGCAGGCTAGATTCGCTATTCAACAACCGCTGCAACTCCTCATCCTGGGCTTGCGATTTTGCCAATTCTTCGAAATTAATCGAGTGGTTAACCGTTTCCACTCTGGACAGTGCATCGGCAACGACGTTGTCTTTACCGGAAATATGTTGAATATCTGTAGAGAATTGCGCAATGTAATCTAGGTATCGGAATTGTCGAGGAGAGCATTTATCTAATTTCTGTTTGAAAGCGAAAGTTATGGGTTTATGGTCTGTAAAAATCGTGAAATGTCTGCCTTCGAGCATATGTTTGAAATGTTTTATTGCTAAATAGATAGAAAGTAGTTCCCGGTCGTAAGCTGAATACTTCTTTTCGGCAGATCCTAATTTCTTAGAAAAGAATGCTAATGGTTGTCGTTCGTTGCCGACGCACTGATGTAAAACAGCTCCTACGGTGTAATCAGAAGCATCGCAGGTAACCGACAATGGAGCGTTGACCGCAGGATGAGAAAGCAGGGTTGCGTTTGCTAAACTATTTTTAGTATTTTCGAAAGCCTGACGCGCTTCCGAAGTCCAGGCTATCGGGGTCTTGCCCTTTAAATTGCCGGCTAGAAGGTCGTTCAAGGGTGCTTGAAAGCGAGCGGCATCTGGGATAAAACGGCGGTAAAAATTAAGCATTCCCAAGTACTGCCTCAAATCCTTCGCGTTTTTCGGAAGGGGAAATGACTTTATGGCTTGTACCTTGCCGGGCAAAGGTTGAGTGCCGCTTTCATTTACCCGATAGCCTAGAAATTTAACTTCTTCCTGCCCGAACGTGCATTTATTCGGATTAACAACAATGCCATAATCTTTTAATCGTTTAAATAATAATTCTAAATGGCGCAGGTGATCGGCTTGGGATTCTGAGGCGACCAAAATGTCGTCTATATACGCGTAACAAAAATCGAAACCGCGTAAAATTTCGTCGATAAAGCGCTGAAATGTTTGCGCGGCATTTCGTAACCCGAACGACATGTACGGGAATTCAAAAAGCCCGAACGGCGTTGTAATGGCCGTTTTTCCGACGTCTTCCGACGCAACCGGAATCTGATTATAAGCTCGGACGAGATCTATTGTGGAAAATACCTTTTTGCCACTCAGTTGTTGCGCAAAATCCTCAATGTGACGCACGGGGTATCGGTCGGGAATTGTCCGTGCGTTTAACGCTCTATAGTCACCGCAAGGCCTCCAAGCTTCTTCGCCCTTCTTCGGAACCATATGAAGGGGTGCTGACCACGCGCTCTTCGAAGGACAAGCGATGCCCATCTTCACCATCGCGTCGAACTCTTTCTGGGCAGCCCTGAGCCGGTCCGGTGCAAGCCGCCGCGGCTTGCTGGAAACGGGTGGTCCAGGGGTTGTCTCGATGTAATGCACCGTTTGGTGTGTAGTCCTCATCGGGGTGCCGCTAGGCCGTGTAAGTTCCGGCATCTGCATCAGGAGCTGGTGGTAAACGGTAGTCCCTGCTACTGTCTTCACCGACGGCGTTTCATCCTCGGCTCGTGTTCCGCGGACCGTTAACGACGTGGTCCGATCGACGAGGCGACGATTGCGGATGTCCACCATAAGATCGAAGTGATCGAGAAAGTCTACCCCGATTATGGGTTTTGTAACATCCGCAACCACGAATCGCCACACGAAATCCCGTCGTAGGCCGAGGTGCAGGTTTAACGACACTGTCCCGTAGGTGTTAATTACACTCCCATTCGCCGCCGCCAGCTGGTACTCCGATCTTTCTCGCAATCCGCCTAGCAGGCGGCGCGGAAAAACGCACAAATCGGCCCCGGTATCCACTAAAAATTCCGTCTTCGAGCTGTTGTCTAAGATGAAGAGGCGGCGTGATGCTGGATTTGTGTCGCTGGCCGCCATCAACGACTCCCCAGGTCGTTTCCCTGATCCGTGGCGTTCCAATTGCACGGTGCAACGCACCTCTGCGCGGCCGGACCGAACCGCCAATGGTACCAGCATTTCCCTTGATGGTCCATTTGTCCTCCCGCGGGCCGCTCTCGCGATCGCGATAGAGATCGTCTGCGGTAGCGCGAGTTTGGATGATTTCGGTGGGTCCACCTGCGACGGGAAGATTGCCCCTGGTCCACCAAGGATTCACGGATGGCAGAAATTTCCTGCCTCAAGGAAAGAGCCAATTGTGACATCTTAATGTTTAACATGGCCTCGATGCTCGGGCCCGGCGGGGGTATTTGGCAGGATGCAGATACGCCCGTAATCGCGGCCTCCGTGACGTGTACCCGCTGTGTCATCGTATCCGCAACAGCGTCTGCCAACTCTGCCACCTTATCCAGCGGGGTGTCCCGCTGCGTGGCTAAAATCACCTGCATATTAGCAGGTAGTCGGCCCATCCAAAGCGTCCGCAATACACCGTCCGAAAAAGCCGTACCGGCCAATCCGCGCAGGTGACGAAGAAATTGAGACGGTTTTCTGTCCCCGATTTCCTCGTGTTCCAATAACCGCCGCGTTTTCTGTTCCTGCGACGCACTAAGCCGGCGAATGAACTCATTTTTTAGCGTCGTGTACGGATCCGCGGCCGGGGGATTCATGATAATGTCTCTTACTTCCGCGGCGTGTCGCGCACTTAACGCGCCGAGAATGTACCCGAATTTCGTGGTCTCCGACGTTACATTGGATACCTCAAAACTTCTCTCTACCATTGAAAACCACATCTCCGGGTCTCCCGGACAAAACTCGGGTATCCGTACAGCGACGCGATCAACTGCCAACGGCACACCCGCGGATGTCCCTGCGTTAACGTTAGGGTCAGTCATTTTACCAGTCTTAGTCACAAAAAAAAAATAGTTTCACCGCACACACACACCGCGCTTACTATTTGTCAGACCGTGTCCTTTTCTTATGTCCTTAACACTATACACTTATTTCTCTACACTAACTAATATTGTCCGTATACAAAAAATGTCCAAATTTTCTTAAAAAAAACTTTACTTGCGCGGCGAGATCACGTCGGGGTCACCAATGTGGGATCGGGAAAATAATGACTCCGCTCTGTTCCGTTCCGCACAATTGTATTGTTGCTGTCGTACAACGACGTGACTCGTGGTGCGGGTTACGCTCGACTCTCTGGTACGATCATCGCCACCGTACCAAGAGGCCTTCAAAAACAAAAGACGGTCAGAGACGACGACAACGGCTTTTCGGCTCACGCGGCTCTGGTCGTCTCGTGTGCAACCATCGTCTCGTGTGCAACCATCGTCTCGTGTGCAACCATACATTGTAGCGGCTTCGAACGGCTAAGGCGTATGTGGTGCCTTGGCCGCCACAGTTCTAAAAAAATTATTCGCAGCTAGGAGAGTTAATTACAATCATTTTTGGTGAATAGATATACCTCCGAAATCCTATCCATTTTCGAGAAAAAAATTCGAGTAGATGTGAAATTTTCGGCGAAATTAAAAAATTTCAAATCGTTCTAAAAAAATTATCCGTAGCTAGGAGAGTTAATTACAATCATTTTTGGTGAATAGACATACCTCCGAAATCCTATCCATTTTCGAGAAAAAAATTCGAGTAAATGTGAAATTTTCGGCGAAATTAAAAAATTTCAAATCGTTCTAAAAAAATTATCCGTAGCTAGGAGAGTTAATTACAATCATTTTTGGTGAATAGACATACACCTGAAATCCTATCCATTTTCGAAAAAAAAATTCCTCACCGAAAATCTAATTAGGTGCCCAAAGTTTTCGACGAAAATAAAAAATTTTAAATCGTTCTGGAAAATGTTTTTTATCATACTTATATGATTTGCAATAAATATTGAAATGCAATTGCCATTACTTTATTCTTTCTTTTATCTGCTTTTTGAATTTTGTAAGTATTTAGTTTGGTTTTTATGAGCTTTTTCTCTAACCATAGCAAATTCGTCAAATTCGTCAAAGGCACCCGTTTTTTGCTCGGCACTAAAAAGGTGAAAACAAATGGCGGAAGAAACAACGGCCCCATACAAAGATATTTTTAAAGAACCAAGACTTTTCGCGTTAATTTTTGCTTAGTCTATTTGTAAATTTTTCATTCACTATGATCGTTACATTTAAAAGCGTTCTGAAGTTTTGGACATCTCTATTTTACTCGTGTTTCTGTGTATTCCATTCACTTTACTCGTGGGGATGATTCGCGCGTGGCTGGCTCTCAAAAGGGATAGTAAAGACGCAGATTTCAATAAGATTAATATGGAAAAGACAGTCACGGTCTGTCCATACCTATGTAAACCGTAGGTACAATATTAATCGAGCATGTTCACAAACTCTCGACAAAAAGAAGACGAAAATTTGAGAAATGATCGATTTTGTAGGAACTTTTTGTGGACCTTAAATTCTCGTAAAAAATCTTGGAAAATAATAGTGTAACTTCGTTTCGAAGAATTTATTCATAGAACTATAAATTACGGGGATATTCGCGTGTTCCCGTTTATAATGCCCCGCTCTGTATATTTAAAGATGTCTAAGCATAGTTTCGCTCGATCGAATAAAGACTAGGTTGCCCCGATTTAATTCGGGTACGGCCGTTAAGTGGCGAAAGAAACGTTGAAGGTTTGAAACGGCCATTGTCGTTGGACAAGCATGGCAGGCAACATGTTAGTTCCACGCGATGCGTTGGAACATAGAGAAATTGGGCCTGAAGGGTTGTATACCTGACGAGGCCGCCGATCGAAGCGCCGCGTAGTGAACTTACGACGCGACAGTTGCGGTTGCGAACGAACCAGTACGACGACGGAAGTGCACGTGTTCGGTGTAAACTCAAAAAATCGGTGGTAACAAAGCAACTTGTTCGAACGATACTTAGTTAAATCAAACGGTCGAATGGTGCCTGAATATTCTCAGTGGGTCTTCCTAGGAAACAACGTGCTTCGACCGTACGTAATTCGATGTTTAAAGCGTTCTAACGCAGCGGGAACTTGGGTCAGAGATACGAGGGAAATAACGAGGCGGTTGATCGCAAACGTTCGAACGAATAAATTGTCATCGCGGGAAACAGGCGGTTTCCGCGCGAGCGATAATAAAACGCAACTGTCCGAAACAATATTTCAGTTATTCGCTGTTTCTGCAACGTTGTTTGAAAATAACGAAATATCGATTTATTCAATATACCGGGTACTTTAAGGGGGCCACGTTTGAAATACTGTTCCATTCGTGTTAACTTATTTCTCAGTTATTTCATTCTTCAGATACAACTGCATAATGAAATATTCGTATACTGATTTATGTTAGTTAGAAATATATGTTTTTCAAATGTTTCGTTGGGAAAATTAACAACATTTCACATAGGTGATTTCTAACGCACAGGGGTTCAATTTTCACGCTGAAAAATTGCGTTGTATGTTTTCTTAATCTCGAGATTGCACGGTGTTGTTTCAGTTCGACGTACAGCAACTCGCAGGGATCGTACGCGACGATGAGTTCGCCGCGTCAACAACACGGAAATCAACAAATGATGTTGCTCCAGCAACAGCAACAACAGCAGGCGCAGATGCAGCAACATATGCAGTATATGCATAACCAGCAGCAGCAACAGCAGCAACAACAACAGCAAATGCAACAACAGATGCAGTACAGGAGTCCGACGGGCGGCAGCCCACCAGCGATGCAGCAAACCAACGTTCCGGAACCAAACAACAATACTACAACCAGCGAAGACAGCGACGATAGCACGCCACATTCCGGAATGGTGAGTAAAAACGTAAATGTTTGTTGGTTTTATAAGAACTGTCCAAACATCGAAAGAGTAACACAATTTTATTTTTTTATAAGTGTCGCACTTATTTATTTTCCAAAAGGAATTTCTTGCGTCTGAAAAAATTAACCATTTAAATTTAATAAAATCTACGTCTTCGTTGGCTTCTGAGAAAACAATAAGTTTTATTTTACGCGATATCTGGTACCGAAAATTGTCGAGCAACGAAAGATTCGAAGGGCTCGAAAATTCCATTGACCGACAACATCGAAGACAATCGATTCCTTGGTGAATTTTGAATACCTGCAAGTTCGGGAATACCGATATACCTGTGTCTTAAAATACTTCCGGAGGTCTTATCCAACGCAGCCCCAAACATTTCTCGACCCGACCCGAACCTCGAGTATCTGCATTGTTAGACGAACCGTTATTAAACTGCGTCAGTAAAGTGCCTTCGATTGAACGAGAAGGGGCGCCGTGAGCCCCCCTGTTCGCGAAAATTATTTTACGGTTCGTTTACAAAACCCGTCGATTCGACTAACAATTACAATTTTTAATTTTACGTTGTAATCACGATTGTAAGTTTACGTTTTGCATTTATAATTGTGATTATTACTAACTGTAATCACAGTTGCAATTGTAAACGTGGAACAATTGCAATTGAAAATTGTAATCTTGATCGCTAGTACGGCAATGTAATATGTGATTTATGAATTTTTTAAAGTTATGCTCGCGTGGTAGGATATCTTTTTGTCGTCGAGTGCATCTGTCCGTTGGGACTTACAAAGTCTGCGGCCGCCATGATGTTTGTTACGCATGCGCAGAAAACAGACCGTTTAACAGCACCGGATACCTGGGACTCGGGGTTCTTGCATACCCCTACGAAAAATCCCTACTGAATCCAAGCTATGTTTGTTCAGATCACTGGCATCAAGCGGCCCTCGCCGGAACCGGCAGATGTTGGGGCAAAAAATCAGAGAAAACCAAAGTCGCAGAAGAAGAAGAAAAAAAGAGATCCCAACGAACCGCAAAAGTAAGTATTTGTTTCAAATGGGATCGAGTAAATTTTTTTCGATGATGTGTTCAATTTACAATAATGTAATTAAAATAGTAACAATTTTGATTTGTTTGCACATATTGAGGTTTCGTGTTACGCGATTGTTTTCCAGGCCCGTTTCGGCGTACGCTCTGTTCTTCAGGGACACGCAGGCAGCGATAAAGGGACAAAATCCGAACGCGAGTTTCGGTGAAGTATCAAAAATCGTCGCTTCGATGTGGGATGCTTTGGATACCGAACACAAGAATGTGAGTATTTATTTTTTAAGAAACAACAAAATTCGTATCAATCAACGTTGGGTGTCGCTTAATTACATTTTCAATTCATTGAAACATCAGTTATAATTCTTCGATTCTAAATGAAAAAATAAAAACTAATTTTGAAATCTATTTTGTTCCTCGTAATATTTGTCTCATACAAATAAATATTTTCTTCTGACATGTATTCCTACCATCGAAATCAAGTAAGATATTTAAAGCGACGAATCAAGTGCTTGAATGTGTAAAATTAATTATTTGAACAAATTCGATTATATCTAACTCAAAAAAAATTCAATTTATTTATTTGGATAATTATACAGGGTGTTCGGTCAACCATGGGAAAAATTTTAATGGGGGATTCTAGAGGCCAAACTAAGACGAAAATCAAGAATACCAATTTGTTGATGGAGGCTTCTTTAAAAAGTTATTAACAATTAAATTCAAAAATTTCAAATCGTTCTGGAAAAATTATTTTCGATTACGGGGGTCGATTACAATCATTCTCGGTGAATACACATACCTTCGAATTCCTATCCACTTTCGAGAAAAAAAATCGAATAGATGCTGATATTTTTCGGCGAAAAAAAAATTTTTCAAATCGTTCTAAAAAAATTATTTTCGTTTGCGAGGGTCGATCACAATAATTTTTGGTCATTACATATACCCCCGAAATCCTACGCACTTACGAGAAAAAAATTCCTTACCGAAAATCTAATTAAGTGCCTAAATTTTTGGACGAAAAAAAAAAATTTCATATCGTTTTAAAAAAATTATTTTCACTTGCGGGGGTCAAGTACAATAATTTTTAGTCATTACACATACCCCCGAAATCCTACGCACTTTCAAGAAAAAAATTCGAAAAGGTGTGAAATTTTTCGGCGAAAAAAAAATTTTTCAAATCGTTTTAAAAAAATTATTTTCACTTGCGGGGATCAATTACAATAATTTTTGGTGAATAGACATACCCCCGAAATCCTGCGCATTTTCGAGAATAAAATTCTGTACGGGTGAAACTTTAAACGTTAATAACTTTTTAACAAAGCCTCCATCAACAAATTGATATTCTTGATTTTCGTCTTATTTTGGCCTCTAGAATCCTCCATTAAAATTTTTCCCTGGGTTAACTAAGCACCCTGTACACTTGACTTGGTTTTAAATAATGAATATTTCAAGTATACTTGGACAGCACTAGTAAAGAGATTCGCTCGCTGTAAATTCATAAAACCCACGGATATAGCTATTTATAGTCCACGAATTGAAATTTTCATTTATAACCAGTTTACACGAAGACTACTTACTATACAGCCATTTGTTCGGTTCGGCCAGATGTTTCCCAGGTTCGAGCGTTTTATGAATTTACAACCTGCACGGCCAGCCATAAACGATGCTTGAAACTTCCGGTCGTGACACTCGAAAAAAGGATCTTTGTACCTGATATGTACCGTTAGATGAGGAAGGTCACTTTACTTCAACCAAGAGAATTAAATTTGTCCATCAAATATACTAACTGTGGTCCTTTTCAAAACGAATATTTATGTCTAGCTACACATTAGTAACAGTATTAATTACAATAACATTATTCATTTTGCCCAACTCTGATTCCACAGCAGTAATAGTGTGCTGCCCTTTAAATATCTGAAAGCTAGTTGCAGTTGAATTATCATGACTACTAATAGTTGAAGCTCCGTTCTAAAATCAGGAATTTGCAAATGTACCGTGTACCAATCTAGTTGCATTTCTCAGAACTCGAACAACCAGTTTGCATCTTGCAGTTTAACTCGAAATGTTGCAAATTGAGCAACCGTACACGCCTATCAGATTATAATAACCAGTTTGGTCTAGCGAAGGTTATTAGCAGGGTACACTTGTTCGGTGTCCTACCTTTAATTAGTTACACAATATTGCCTTAACGCGTGGCGAAACGAGGCGTAAACTTGTTTCCATCTTGCAATCCTACAGAAGGAGATAGAAGAAACGGTTTAGCTATGCCAAAGAAACTGAAACTAGACTTTTACATCTGATGTATAACTTCTAAACGTTTACGTTTTCCTTAGGTTTACAAGAAGAAGACCGAGGCTGCGAAAAAAGAGTATCTGCAGGCTCTGGCGGCGTACAGAGCATCTCTGGTCAGTAAAGGAGCAGCCGAGAATGAACAGCAACAGCAGCAGCAACCGTCACCACAGCAACAGCAACAGCAGCAGCAACAGGTTCAGTACGCAGCGTACGGCAGCTACACCGGAAGCGGAACGCCCGGAAACGTTTCGTATCAGGTCTACAGCCCGCAGCCTCAACCGCCGTCGCCTCAACAGCAACACGCCCATCCCCATCAGCATCATCAGCATCAGCCACAATCGCAGCAAATGCAAATGAAAAAATCACCCCACCATTTGGCCATGTCTGGGAACCCGCAACAAACACAGCAGGTAGCGAGCTTTCCTCACTGCTATCGTTAACCACTGTGTTAGTTGCCCCTGCAACCATACTTGCACCAAGGCAAACTTGCCCCTAATTTCGAAACTCTGGAAATTATTCACAAAAACTTACGCCTCGTGGGTTACAAGTTCTGCACTCTAAACTCAACCCTTTGTGAATTAAATTTGAAAAAAATCAAAAGTAACAATCCAATAAACACAAGTGTTCACACTTAAATATGAATTATCTCTAAAGTAGTTGTACATTGATTGTAAACCATATTGTTGCTTTAAAAACATGATAAATTCATGTTAACCTTTTGTACTCGAGGGCTCCGCTATGGAGATAATGCAAATAATTACATATTGAACGATTACAAAATGTAATAATTTTCTGTTTTTTTATATATATTTATATTTATAGACTTTTACTTATATTTTTTACTTATATGTAAATATGATCTTTTCACTAAAATTGCTTCGAGTTGCTGGTAATATGAATGGAAAAAAAACAGAGTGCAAAGGAATTAAATCGGATTTCAAAAACGTAGATAAATGGGTACGCGACTGACTTCGGGGTCACGCTGTATTGCAGAGAGTTAAATCAGGCGAAGGTCGCTTATTGTATTGTAATTTTTATGCCGGAATAGAAACCGTTTATTGCTTTCAAAAATGGAATCAAATAGACTCAATAGTACTTTTTGCCCTGTAATGGTCCGAGTCTGTCTGGCTTTTATTTATAACACGAACAACAAATAAATTACGTTAAACACAATCTATAAGCTAGGCATTGGGGAAGGTTATTTGGCGGAGCGTAAGTTTTTGTCAATAATTATTGAAAATTCTTGTGAAACAGTATTTTCAAACTGGTGAAACAACTTTTATATCTGTGAAATGCAATTACTATTATTTTGTTCTTATAATGATATTAGTAATGAGAGTATTTTTTAGCGTCGAGAACAGTATCACTGCGTTTGTTTAAAAAAAGAACTATTAGCGTCTCGTCCTGGGTTTACTGGTGGACACATCGATCAGGCTGATCCGACAAACCCAACTTAGGATCAAGAGGGTTCCTCGTGTCTCAGGCCGAGAAATGGGAAATATTTAAAATTGTTTTCAGAGACATGAGAAAATCCCCTTTATCGTTCGAAAACCAGAAAGAAATTTAGCGAAAAAAAATTTGAATTGAAAAAAAGTTCTAAAATCTTCATTATTAAGTTTCAGTTTTTGCTCCAACGAGTTCGTGACGCGCCCACAACCGCATTTCATTATTTACCGAAATGACGAGTCTCTAAATCAAGAAATAAAAACAATAGTAATTCCGTTGACGAATAACAATTTGTTTCAAGAAGAAAGTAAACGTTGAACAAGTCCGTGACCCGTTGGCGGAGCATGCATTTAAACCCGATGTTGAAATTGAATCAATGTACTTATCGTTACCTTGCTGTTATTTTCATATTTTACTTAGGGTATGATAAACAATTCAATGGCACCGTCACATATTTCCCAACAACAGCAACAACCGCAGGCACAGTCCCAGCAACAGCAGCAGCAGCAACAGCAACACATGCAGCAGCAACAAGTCACACAGCAACAATACATGCAGGTTAGCAGAAGAAAAAGTGTATTTTTTGCATAGAAGACAAAAATAATAGCTGGATAGAATTAACAGAATACTTTCAACTGTATTCACTCGACTGCAACTCTTTGATACATTGACTGAGCCTCGACATTTCGAAAATTGCAAATGACTATAATATTTCTGTCGTTAATGCTGCAATTTGTATAAATATCTTCAGACATAGAAAACTGGCGTGGCAGTCGACACGTTAAACAAGATACGTGGTATATATAACCCTTTCAAGGATACTAACAGATACGCTCACGTTTTATCTTCCACTTACTTTCACTTTAAATACTGTTACGGGGGATTAACTATTACTATTGTGAAATATATTCGTATCTAAATTCCCCAATGATATAACTCAGCAATAACCTGGTTGATAATGCCATGGGTCAATATCAGTTTCACTTCACTCTATTGCAAGAAACTAACTCGAACAATTTATTGCTTTGCAACGATTCGACGTCTATGACAACTTATGCCATTTATTGGATACTCAATTGCATCTGCAGTGTTATTAAAATTGTGGAAACATTCACATACAAGACTGATTAAATATCTGTTACGTAAGCTTACAATACCCTGCTGGTTCCAAAAGTTTCCGAACGGTGGCGCTTGAATCAGTGTAAAAATAACTTTACCCACGCATTCTTCTTACGATTCCTTTTGATTGCAGCAAGTCCAACAGCAACAGGTGCAGCAGGTGCAGGTGCAGCAGCAGTCCCAGCATCACCATCATCATCAACAGCAACAGCAGCAGCAGCAGCAGCAGCAACAGCAAATGATGCACACGAGCAACCAGAAAGGTGACTCGTTGTCGAGCCCACCGTCGGTGAACTCGGCGGCCCAGGCGACAATGGGCGGTCAAAGACCCGCGTCCAACGCTTGCATACGCCACGGGTGCCCGAATCCCGCGGTAGCGAACAGCGAATGGGAGGATGAGTACTGTAGCAACGAATGCGTGGTTAGCCATTGCAGAGACGTGTTCACTACGTGGGTGTCTTCGAATCAAAATTCCCAGCAAAACTTCTCGACCGTAAAATAAGAAATCTGTACACTAAATGATTGTAGTAAGCGCGATAATCCTGAACGCGTACGGCTATCGTTCGTTCCTAGCCGACACGAGCACGACCGATACGTTGAGTGTACATAGATCGACAAAAAGGTTCGCGTAAAATCAAAAAAAGGAAAAAAAAAAAAGAGAAAATCCCAGACCGACGACAAGAACACACGGTAATTATTTACAGTAACTAACGTGAACCGACGCTAACCTCGACAGCCTTTGCGCGTATGTTGGTGGATGGAAGCATGTCGCTGAGCGTCCTCGCGTGAAAAGTAATTATCGCCTACTATTGGCTTTCGAGATAAAATTATTAGAAACACCGAGTTGTACGCAAATTTATACAAGATATAATAGATAATATTACTAGTTTTCGTACGAAGAGCAATATCATTGCGATGATAGTCTCGGATCGATCTGGTACCGTTTAATGAATCTATCTACTTTTGCAGATTCGAAACAAAACGCGATAACTCTTTGCTCCAAAAGTATTGGGAACATTGAGACTTGGGTCTTTTTCTGATCACTGTACGAACATAACGCCTCGACCCTCGCCCGGCGACCGAGTCCATTTTGACCCGTGCAAATTGTTCATTCTCAATCCCGAGGTTCTTGTTTTTATCAAAATGCAATAATAACAGTGCTTGTTTTATAAAGTTGTGATTCGTTCACGTCATAGAAATGTTTGTATGAATGTATGTGCACGTGTGTTCGACTACAGGGTGATTCGCTTGCCCCATTCAATAGTAATGGATTTGTAAAAATATACGGTAATAATGCATACAAAATTTACAAACGCCATAACGAAGCAACGAAATAACGAAATAACGAGATTTCGATTTGGGTAAGAATAGACCCGGAGTTCGTCGTTCGAGGGTCAATCAACAGGTGATGACCGTTTGTTGCGTTTCAATTCGAAAAGCGAAGCGGAGAATAGCGAGCAATTACAATTTATTTGGAAATGTATAATTTAATCGTTATTATTGTCCCGTAAATAGAACCAGAAATTAACCGGAAATAGTTCTGTTGCGAGATGATAAAAAAGGTTTCTAATAATTATACCTTGAAAAAATAAGACTGAACGAGAAATGTTTTTTTAATTTAGAATGATCAGAATGGCAGAATCCAACCGGGACCTCTTCGATTTTAACTTGATTTTGCGGGGTGGTAAAAAGACAGGTTTCCTTTGCAACGTATTAAACATTAAACACTCGATAATTGTAGAGGTATAAGTAAGCAAAATTACCCTACGTACCGACAGGGTTCGAACTCGAAGCCCTGGCGAGCCGCGTTGTGCCTCCTAATTCTTTTCTGCGGCTTCCGTATACTTATTCAATTTAGTAAATTTAAGTATCACAATGAACAAAATCGACAGTCAAAGGAATTAATACGGAGTGCAATCGCTGAACAGTGAATTTCAACTCTTCGTGGACAGTGTCTGCCAAAGAAATTTATCGTTTCCGGATGTATGTGCATCGAGATATTCTTTGAAGACCCATAAACGAACAAAACCTGATTCACTTGATACGTATGTAAGAATTCGTTAAAATAAAATTTACGTATGTGTAACAATTTATTGAACTAAAATAAAATTTATACCTTGGACAAGGTAATTTTCAAATACACGTTAGTTTTCTGTTCAGTCCACTGGCTCTCGAAAATTTCTGACAGACAATATATTATGTGGTTTTTGTCATAATTGTTTGCACTATCGAAGTCCTCGTGGAACATTTTTTTTTTGAATAATTCGTAACTGAAAAGCTGGAATATAGGATATGTGATGTTTTTTACTTTTTTACGTGTATATTTCTTAAATTATCGAGTATCTATATCTAATGTTCTACGCATCCCGCAAGGACAAGTCTAGCATGCTAGAAAAGCACGTTAAAATCGATGGACAGGTTGGGTCATTTTCTTGTCGACGAAGCACCATCTCCAACATACTGATGCATCGAGCGAAATTTTCATAGTTCCATCAGTTTCTAGTATAAAAAAAGAAGAAACTTTGCTCTCATTCGACAACAAATTTGTTCATAATTTTTCTACGAAATTAATTGTTATTGTTAACGAGTACAAAAAACATCTCAACTGTTCAAAATCGCCAAAGTAATCAGTGATAATCATTTACAACATTCGTTTAAAGATTGTCAAGATTGATTGCATTTTTTTTTATTGTGAGCTTTATTGTGAAAATTTCGTCGACGGTAGGCTGCCATTATAAGAGTCGGGCAAATTGTATTCGTGAATAACGAACGAAAATGTAAATCAATTTACGTTTACGTTTCATCCGCAAATTACAACTCGTTGACGAATTCTGTAACACTAGAACTACCAAAACAGTCAAAATGATCTATTCGTAATTTCTAATAAAAATTGTTACAAATTTTCTCGACTGGGTTCTTTGAAAGAACAAATAAACATTTATTTCCGTTACATTATACATTTCTTCGAATTTATATCGCTTCAATTTCTTTGGTATGAATAAATACACCATAATTGTTGGTAGTTCTAGCGTTAAATCTACATGTGCTTCCGTGAGAGGAAGGCACAGCGTGTTTCCATCCCCACTCCTGTTGCAGTCCGCTGACTCACAGGTATTGGTCGAGAACTGTGACGGAGTCGGTGACAGCCAATCAGCGAACTGCAGCAAGAGTGGGGATGTAACGCTGTGCCTTCTCGTGAAAGGACGATATCTGGCATTCGAAGCTATGGTCGAAACCTGGTTTTGCGATTAACACTAGATTTACGGATGTCAGATTCCATATTTAAAATTGCAGAACGCGTAAATATTACTTTTTAACTACTTATGTTGAATTTGTTTAATGCTATGGCATGAATGTATATTCTAATTAAAAGAAAAATCGTATTTTAAGGTAATCGTCAACGTGAAAGGTATCAATAAATATACGTGTTATCAATGCCCGTAAATCTAGTGTTAAATCTGAAATCTTTGTTATTTGCGAGATAACGTTTGCCCAACTCCGGCTATTATAAATAATTACCGGTTCTCGCGCACACCAGTGCGTAGTTTCGACGAAAGACTGCTGGCGGCAGCTCGATGCTTGCGAACGCGGAAACCGTATAGCTTCTCGATGGATCTTTTCGACAAGCATCGTCGCTGTTATCGCGAAAGAGTATTAGAATCGCCAAAGTAGCCGATCAAATCGGGCCGTAGTTCGAAGGAATCGATATATATCGTCATCGTCGCGTTGCGTTTTCCGGACGTGATCGGAAACGAAAGAACGATGAATCGAGTGTAAGTAAAATTGCATTCCTTGAACGAGTTTAGTTAGCGACCGTTTAACGATATAAAAGTAATTTCGTAGAAATATATTCGCAGACATAGGATACGTGTATGTAAAGTTGTTCGCTTGGCCGCGAGGAGGGAAGGGGGACAGGAACGAAGGTATTTCATTGAACGACAACACGTATCGTACAGACTTTCCAACGTACTGTAGACTTTCGCGATCTAATCGAATCACAAATTTCTTCAAACATCGAAACATTAGATGCATTGACAATGGGTAGAAGGTTTCATTCTGTAGTGCTGACCGTGGCAGCACTATCTGAATCCTAGCCTGAATTTGTTTGTCACTTAGCTTGTTTCGACAGTCGACACGTATTATGCAGAGATGACTTGTTGGCTAGGCACCAAAAAATTAAACGGGGTAAGGGCAAGGAGAGAAGGTCTACGCGCCGCCTTATTCTCACCATAGAGGTCAGCTCTGACGCCACGCTACATAGTAGTAGGGTCTCCATAACTACGAGAGATACACTTTTGTTCTATTCATGGCTAGTATTTTGAGCGTACGGTTACGCCAATGCCTCTCAGTCCCTATACGTTTTGTTCGCGTCCTTTGTCACGCGATGTGAGCGACTCAGCCAATAATGCGTGTGAGAGCAAACGTCGCTATTATTCTAGGGCCAATCGGTGTGCCTAGCCATCAAGTCATCACTGTATAACACCTCTTTCGATGTCTGAAGGGACATCGCTATATCTTGAAAGCTACAATACGCAGGCTGACACAATTGCATGTACTGACGTCACCAAAGTTCTTTTGGCGCGAAACGACTTCCAACTTCTGATTGGTAGACCGGTGGAGTCACCAGTGTCAGTCTACCAATCGGAAGCCTTCCCGCCAGCGTAGCTTGGTGACGTCACACACGTTCAGTGCCCGCCTGTAAATACGAGTGAAATTTCGTAACGCGATGATCGTTCGCATAATATGATTTCTCTAATCGATTCGATCGTTAATAGCCGAAAGCAACGTTCCCACAATATCTTCATCGAAAATTTAATTTTTCACGCGTGTATATACCTAGTTTATTTATTTGTTCGAAATTAAATACTACACGTTTGTCAAGGGGTTAATTCATCCAAAATACAGTAAAATTGTGAATGTTGCTTTTGGCCATTATTGATTCCCTGATCGAATCGAATCGATCGAGGGACTATCGTGTGAACGGTCTGCGAGACACGATGTCACGATACGGTGGACAAAGTCACGGACTCTTGGAGTCCGCGTATCGCTGACGCGCACTACGTTTCAAGTTCTTTCGCGAGTTGAAGTTCGACGCGCGCGTATTCGAGCCGACGAATAATACGCTAACAGCGAGATTCTCTCGTAATGGAAGGAGGGTCAGGTAAGCTGATTTAAACGGCGAACAAGCTGGTTGCGTTCTCGGTTCGAGCGAAGGCGGCGGCAGCATCAGCAGCTGCGTACTTGCAACGCAATTTATTTTTGTATAATTTTACAAACGATCGAATCCATATATAGCAATACACAATCTACGACAGACGCGGGCAAGCGGGTAGCAACGACGTCGAGCGACGTTCACGTTCGTCTCTGTCGCGTGTTTCGTTTCACGACCACGCAGTGATGGACATGCGCACTAGAATTCTCCCTCGTGGGATTCCTTTTTACGCATCCGTTAGCTTTCTGCCGTAGATGCATCTTTGGCGCAAATAGGTGCAAAATTGATCTTTCTACTTCAAATGCTCGCCAATCACACAAAAATTAACTTCTCGAAGATCCTGTACGTATTTCTCTAGCTATACTCATGTAGATTAACACCTTGACTGTAATAATGAATTATCAAGTTGAAATGTTAAAGAAAATAAATTTTAGTAAGCTTCATAAATTTTAATGAGGTTACGAGAGCAACTACTACGACAACTTTTAA